ATAAATTCTATGCAATGAAATTCTACCCAATAAGAATTCTTTAAAATGCCTATATTATGTAAAATGAAAATTCGAGCAAATAAAAATTCTAACAAATAAAAATTCAAACAAATAAAAATTTTGTGAAGTGAATTTTTGATTAAATAAAAATTCTGTAATATAGAAAATCGTTTTTTATGAAAATTCCGAAAAGTACTAATTCAAATAAAAATTCGACTTAAAAATAATTATGACAATTGAAATTCCTTAAAATGAAAATTCTAACTAATGATTAGAACATAATCATGCGTCCCCCTATAATGGAAGCAATAAAAAAATTGAAATTAAATTTAAAAAATTAAATTTTAAAAAATCATAACTTCCTTCATTTTTATGAAATAAAAAAATTATTTTCTTATTTTTCATACCGATTTCGAAAAAAACTGTTCCCGTGGAATGTCCCATATATTTAAAAAAAAATTTTTTTAATTATAGAAAAAATGTATTAAAATATGTAAATTTCCAAATACTTGTAACCTTTTTTCGTTTCATCAAACAACCTCCTTAACTCTACAAATTTAACTTTTATATATATATTTCACCGACAGATTCACATTCATGTGCATGTAATCTGTAACTAATCATAATTATTATTATAATTTACATAGAATTAAGTATCAGCATGTAATATATATATATATTGCAAGTTTGTGTATAAATTATTTGTTGACATTTATATATTAATAGAAAATTTTTCTTGTTATAATAAGAGAGTTTTTTTTATTTTCTCTACAATTTATAATAGAAAAACAAATTCATTTTCAATATTTTTATATATATATAATAAATATTAAAATTGAAAATAATTAATTAATTAAATTTTTTTTTTTATTTTTCAGGATTAGAGATTGCTTCATTTCCACCTTACGTGGTGAGAAGAGCTCGAGCTTATACACGACGTGTTCCCATTCAAAAACGTAACTCACAAGGACAAGCATTTCCTTGTCCAAATTGTCCCAGTGCTTTTCGACATAATTATAATTTAAAATATCATTTGAGATACGAATGTGGACTTGAGCCACGTTTTAATTGTCCATATTGTTTTTATAGAACAAAACATATTTCAAATGTACGCGCTCATGTGAGAAGAAAACATCCTGGAAATGATGTTTATGCTATTGATATTTATAATAATGAGTAATTAAATATTTTATGAAAAATGTTAACATTTAGATTTTATTATAAATAAATATATATATATAATATACCACAAAATTTTTTGTGGATAGTGTTTTTGGTTTTTTGATTTATTGTAAAATTTTTAAATTTTAATTTATGTAAAATCTTTAAATAATAAAATTGTCAAATTCACATATGTATATAGAAATGTTTTTATTAATTAGAACAGAAAAGAATATAAATTATTTAATATTTTATCATTGTTTTTTTTCTTGCAATTATACTAAAGTATTGTTTTTTTTGTTACAGGTTTCTGGATGTTTGAAAAGTATATGGGGCATTCTATGGGAAATTTTCATTGAAAATTTTTTTTTGTCCGAAACATTTTTTTTTCGAAATTTATATGAAAAATAAGGAAATATATATGGGTCATTCCATTTTATTTCACTTATAGTCGTTGCGGTCTATTTTTAGAAAAATTTGGTATTTTGTATTAATGACTTTTAATATCCGTACAATTCATTTTTGACAATTATTTTATGAATTTTTTTTTTATTTTTGCTGAAATTTAGTTTTTAATTTGAGTTGAACGGAAAATAGGTTAGTTTGACAGCTTTGGAAATTTTATAAAAAAGAACAGAAATAATTCAATTAGTAAATTTTTTTTCATTGATATTTGTAGAAAATAGTCTAATTTACCAATGTTAATTGATAATTGTGTAAAAAAAGCCAAAATACTACGTGAAAATTAATATTCAAACTTTTAAATGTAAAATGTCAAAATTTGTCACATTTTATTTATATTTTCCAAGAAAGTTTATAAATTTTATAAAATTTATTACTACCTAACAATAAGTACTTTCCATGTACTTTCACATGATATGTTGGCTTTTTATTTTTCTACCTATATTACAAAAAGATATCGCCGCCAACGCCGCCGCCGCCGACGCCGCTGTTCCAAGACTCTGAATATAGCCGCAAGTAAAGAGAAGGGGGATAGAAGAGAAGGGAGGGGACTTGCGGCTATATTCAGAGTCTTAAAACGATATTAACCTCTAAATTTAGGGTGGGGGGAGGAGAAAAGGAGGGGAAGAGAGGAGGGGGATGGGGGTTGGGGCGCGAAGCCGCTGCCGCCGCTGTTCTAAGACTCTGAATATAGCCGCAAGTCAAGAGAAGGGGGGTAGAAGAAAAGGAAGGGGGGACTTACGGCTATATTCAGAGTCTTGAAACGATCTTAACCTTTACATTTAGGGTGGGGAGAGGGGAAAAGGAGGGGAAGAGAGGAGGGGGGATGGGGGTTGGCGCGCGAAGCGCGCAGGGGGCATAGCCCCCTAGTATAATATAGAAATATGTGAAATTTTACCTTGAATATTGAACTTTTCAGGATTTTATCAGATTTTGAACACTTATATCTTCGCAGGCGATTAATGAAAAAATCCCATTTTGGTATTAAAATTTAAGTTAAGTTTTCTTTATTTATCTTATCAAAATTTGGTGATGGAGAACGAGCTACTTTTTATTTTTATTCACTTTAAAAAATCCACCTTAAAATATGAATTTAAACGTTAAAAAACAAGTAATTTTATAAAACTGAAGTTGGTTTTCTCATAATGGATTTATTTGTATGAATTTTATTTATAAAAGTACTTGTTTTTTAACCTTCAAATTTGTATTTTACGGTGAATTTTTTGAAGTGAATAAAAATAAAAAGTAGCTCGTTCTCCATCACCAAATTTTGATAAGATGAATAAAGAAGATTTAACTTAAATTTTAATATCAAAATGGGATTTTTTCATTAATCGCCTGCGAAGATATAAGTGTTCAAAATCTGATAAAATCCTGAAAAGTTCATCATTCAAGGTAAAATTCAAGGTAAATTAGACTATTTTCAACAAATATCAATGAAAAAAAAATTTACTAACTGAATTATTTGTGTTCTTTTTTATAAAATTTCCAAAGCTGTCAAACTAACCTATTTTCCGTTCAACTCAAATTAAAAACTAAATTTCAGCAAAAATAAAAAAAAATTCATAAAATAATTGTCAAAAATGAATTGTGCGGATATTAAAAGTCATTAATACGAAATATCAAATTTTTCTAAAAATAGGCTGCAACGACTATAGGTGAAATAAAATAGAATAACCCATATTTTTTTATTTTTTTATTTGATGAAAATGAAGGAAGTTATGATTTTTTGAAATTTAACGTCAACGAAGAAAGTATGTTTTTGGAACATTTTTTAATCTATTGTACTAAGAAATTAAAAATTATTCTATATATGAAATTTGTTCATTTTTTCTCAAATTTTGAAAATATGTGCTCAAAAATAACGTACCTATAACAGAAACAACAAAAAAAGTTGAAATTAAACTTATAAAGTGAGTTTTCTCAAAAGAGACACTTTCGATTTTTAATTTTTTTTTTTTTTTGCATTACAATCTCTGATAACTGAAGAATTTTTTCCCCTATCTGCGAAAGTGGTATTTTTATTTTTTAAGTTACTATTTACAATTTTTAAGCTCGACGCAACGATTTTTAGTATGTTTTTATGAAAATTAAAAAAAAAAAACAAATGAATGTTAATGGAAAAAGGTTATATTTGTAGAAAAAATGCTTAAATTCTGTGAGCAGTACTAAAAAAATTAAAAATAGTAATTTAAAAACTAAAAATACCACTATCACAGATAGGGGAAAAAATTCTTCAATCATCAGAGATTTTAATGCAAAAAAAAATTAAAAATCGAAAATGTCTAATTTTTAATTTCTTAGTACAAAAAATAATATTAGTAATAAATTAATTCAAGGCTAAATTAATTTTTTTCTTTTTTAATAATATTTTTTATTTTCATTTATTTTATTATTTGTTTTTTATTCTATTTCTTATTTTATTAATAATTATTAATCACTAATTAATCATTAAAAAGTATGAATTAATATTCTGATGGACTTAAACTTCTTTTTTAATTTACGAAAACTTGAATTCGAATTTAATGCGAGATAGGATTATATTATACGGAAACTGAGTTAGCCTTTTATTATTTTGACAATTGAACTATAGCTTCATATTGAACTGAGCTCGAGTTGGCATTTTATTATTCTGACAAATGAACGGGCATCTTATCAACGGGAGGCGTCGACTTTCTTCGTTGACGTTAAATTTCAAAAAATCATAACTTCCTTCATTTTCATCAAATAAAAAAATAAAAAAGTACGTATTTCCTTATTTTTCATATAGATTTCGAAAAAAAATATTTCGGACAAAAAAAAATTTTCAATGAAAATTTCCCATAGAATGCCCCATATGTTTTATGGTACTTTAAAAGGAGAATTAAGAGACGTTTTTTAATCATTGACTTGTTTTCTTTTTTTTTAATTTTGTTTTATTTAAAGGAATTAAAATTGCTTTCAGAATTAATGTTGAAAATTAAGAAAATTTTATCCATCAAAGGTTGAAGTAATAAAATAAAAAGGTTTTGGTTTTTGAAATGTTAAGGAGGTGTCGAGTAATTGGAAAAAAAAACTCTTTTTCTGTAAATTTCCTTTTTTGTTTGAAAATTTATTGACTTTTTACAATCGATACTAAATTATCGCCATTTTTTGGTAATTCCTGAAATTAACCATTTTTCTTTTAGCTTCTTTTTTTCTACGAGTTTCTATTTTCTTAAATTTTCGTTTTTTCTTAATTTTCATTTTTTTAAAACGATTTTTTTTCCCCCTAAAAACAAGTTGCCATTTTACCATCAACAGAAAAACAAAAAATGATATTTTACATTTGAATAAAATATTTATTTTCCTATTTAGAAAATAAAATTCATGTCAATAGTGTTTTGTTTTATACGTCAACTTGTTTACATTTCAGTTTATTGACTACTTCTTTGATTCTTTCTGTATATTTAATTTTTGATTAATTTTCACTTAATTGCTTCCAACGATCTGACGTGCCTTTTAGAACTGTTGGACATTATGTGACATTATAATTTGATTGTTAGGTAATTTAATTTGTAATTTATTTAAAAATCTGTGTAATTTGTGTTTTTAAAAGTGTTGTTTATTTGGTGTAGTTTTTTTTTTAACCTAATAACTATGACAAATTGACAAAAAGTACTAACAAACATTTCCGAAAACAAAGTGTATCAAGTAAATATTTTTTATTGAATTTTCATTATAAATAGTTTAGAAAATTTATTTTTTCTTTTTTGTTCCTATTTAATTCAAAGAAACTTCAATCATTGACGAAAGTCATTTTTAATTGTAATTTTAATCATGGAAATACAATTTCTTTTGTCATTCAAACAAATTGTCATTTTAATTGAGGTTATGATAACCTGAAATTATATATTTAATTCAAAAGATTATAATAAAAAAAAAATCTCCATTTATTTTGGCCTAAACGACTTTATTTATATTTATATAATTTTATTATTTAACGTTTCAACGCAAACAATAATAAAATTACACAAACAAAGTCTTTGTTAATATTTAAAAATAAAGTCGTTTAGGCCAAAACAGTTGGAAATTTTGTTTATTCTAAATTTTTGAATTAAAAATATTACAACTTAAAAACAGAGTAAAAACCCTTTTAAAATCAAATCTGAAATTAAATTACTATTTCTACCTTTCATGGATAAAATTTTCTGAATTTTCTAATTTTTTTTTTTTTATTATATCGTAGTTGTACTAATTTCCGTCCATTTTTGAAAATTTAGTGAAGTCAAAATTTTCGACATGTTTTTTATTTATTTTTTACTCTTAAAAATTGTTTCGATTTATTGTAATTAAAAAAGTTCACGTAAATCGATTCAAAAAAAAAGAATTTTATTTATTAAACTTGGACGAAAATTAGTTCAACAACGGTACTTATGTAATTTTATTTAATAAAGCATATTTTAAGAAGCATTGATTTTATATTTATTTTTAATTGATTCTTTTATTACTATTTTTATTTATAATAATAATTAATTTTATAGTGAAATAAGAATTTCTTATTTGAATCATATAATATTTATTTTATTTCGTATTATTTTTCTCTATATATTGCATGATTTCTTTGCTTTTTGTTTCGTTTTCGAATACCTGAAGGAAATCTAAATTAATTTATTTCAATGTAAATTATATCTGATTTTTAATTATTTTTTTTCAAACTTAAATTTCAATTTTCAGATTTTATTTGTAAAAGAATAATTTTCTTCATTTTAATGTCAACTTATAAATTTTTTTCTAATATCCATAATTATTTTTCTTTTGGATTTAATTTTTTTTTTTTTTGGTTTTTTTTTTGCAAATTTGAGTTTGAAGAAAATTAATTTTTAATATCTTTATAAATTTCAGTAAATTTAAATAATTTTTGAAATTACACCTAGAGAAAAAAATATGTTTATTTTAGAGCTGAATAAATATTTATTTGTTTCGAGTAAATTTTATTCGTTTCAAGTAAATTTTATTTGGTTTAAGTAAATTTTTTCCAGTTTTGGTTCAATTTTGAAAATTTTTTAAAGAACAAAATAAATTAATTTTTAATAATATTTATTTATTCCTAACATGTATTAAAATTATTACTTACTATAAAATTATTATTTATTAATTTTTTATTTTAAAAATTAAATTTTATATCATAAAAAGTAAACTAAAAATTTTAACTGTATTTCTGGGACAAAATTTTCTATATATATATTTTTTTTTCAAATTTTGTATTTATTTACCTTTTTTCTTTATTATAATTTATTTTTATAACATTTTTTAAAATAATTATTTTTTTTATAATTTTCATTATATTTTGTGTCATAAATTGTTTTTTTTTTTTTTTTTACATCCATTCTAATAAATATTTTCTGTTTTTCTTTTTGTTTTTTCCCTAGATTATATTCGGAGTAAAGGATCAATCGCAAGGAAAATCAAAAATCAAATCAAAAACCATGGCCAATCAGTGAGGATATTACGATCAGCTTCATCGAAAAATGTAAAAATTTCCAATGAAACGAAAAATTTGCAAAATTTACATTTATCTAATGAAGCAAAAATTTTAGCCTTACACAATAGAAACAATAGTTTCATGAAGAAGGAGAAAAAAAATTTTTCAATTAAATTACAATCGCGTACAAAAGTGTCAACATGGAATAAAATTCAAATGGAAAACTCCAAATATCATCTTTTATCTAGTGAATTTAATAATAGAATAGAAAAGAAAGATAAATATTCATGTCGAAAGTGTCAAAAACGTTATAAAACACAATTAAGTTTTACATCACATTTAAAATTTAATTGCATTAATGAAGACAACGACGGCGTCAAAAAAGAAGAGAAAGAAGAAAAATTCAAAATTCCAAAATTTAATAAAACAAGAAAAAATTTAAAATTCAAAAATAATTCTCAAAAATTCCAGTTAAAAAAGAATTCAAAAAATTTATCTCTCAATGAAACGAAAAATTCAGAAAATAAATCAATACAATTTAGAGAAAATTTGGAAAAATCAACAATTAATGATTCTAAAAAGAAAAGTGAAGAAGATTTAAAAACAAATTTAGTAAATTCTTTTAAAAAATTATCACCAAATACATGTTCAACGTGTGGAAAATCATTTGACATTGAATATGGACTCGCTAGACATATTTCTCAAGGATGTTTAAATTATCATTACAAATGTCCATATTGTGATTATCAAGAGGATAAATTAATTCTTGCATTTTGTCATATTCTAAAAAAACATCCCGGATTAAAAGTTTATTTAATCAATAAATTAAAAGGCAATAAATTAACAATTAATCGAAAAATGGAAACATATTTATGTAGCGTTCCTCTATTTCGTTATTCAAATGTTGATGATTTAAATAAAGAAAAATTAAACAATTCAACAAATAATAATAATAATAGTAAAAAATTAATTAGCAAAAAAAGTGAGGTAAAAATAAATATTGAAAATCCCACGAAACAAAATAGAAAAAAACTTCCAGTAGTAAGTGGAAAAACAACAGAAATAATTGAATGTCCCGAAAAATGTGGTAAATTATTTAAAAATCAAAATACAGCAAATCATCATGTTAAAAAATTTTGTGAACAAGTTAAACGATTTAAATGTGCATATTGTGAGGAAAAATTTTCACTTTTTAAATTAACAGCCAATCATATTAAAAGTGAACATTCAAATGAAATAATTTGTGCCATTAGTTTAAGTAAAAAAGTCAAAATCTATCAAAGATCAAATGAAACAATTGATGATGGTTCATTAAAAAAACGTAAACGAAATGATTCATTGGGAAATTCATTGAAAAAAACAAAAATAGAAATAGATGATGAAAATTTGAAAATAAAAGTTGATGAAAACAAAGAATTGGAAGGAAAAAATGAAAATGAAAATGATCGTTCAAAACGTTTAAAAAGAGCTGTGAAAAAAGAATCAAAAAAGCCAATAAATAAAAAGAAAATTCTCTGTTCAAATGGTTGTGGTAAATTTTTTGCCTATCCACATACAATGAAATCACATGTGAAATTTTGCATACTACCAAAACGTTATCAATGTCCATATTGTCCAATAATTTGTAAAGTAATAGCCGATATTAATATGCACATTAAAAGACAACATCGTGGTATGAAAAATTATTTTATCGATACATTAATTGAAGAAATGGAGAATCAAGAAAATAAAAATGCAAATCCACCAATTATTATTGAAAAGAGAAAATTAAATGTCAAATGTCCTAAATGTGATCAACAAACTGATGATTTATGGGATCATTTTAAAAAATGTCCAAAAAAAAATTCCGAAATAGAAAATAAAATAGAAAATAGTTGTGAGAAAAAAATTCCAAAAAAAAATTCCGAATTACAAATAAATGAGAAAAATTTGGATAAAAATCCATTCGATGATATTGAATTTATAAATATTCCTGAGACGGAAAATTTTTCACAATCACGTGAAATAAATGGTGAATCAAATGATCTTAGCTATTGGGATATTTTAGATGATCCAGAAGAGACTTTAATTGATATTACAAATGGCAGTGATTCAGATGGGGAATTATCGGATAAAGAATTAACCGAAGAGGCATTAAATGAAGAAATAACAAAATTTGTTCAAATGGAAAATGAAAATGATGCTAAATTAAAAACATTAAATTCATCTTCAAATGAAATTCCATGTCCAAATAATTGTGGTTGTAAATTTACAAAACATATGTTAAAATATCATTTACGTTTATGTGTATCAAAACCAATAAGATTTAAATGTCCACATTGTGAATATTTTACGCAAGAGGAATTAAATGGTTTTAATCATATTAAAAATCAACATCCAAATGAAGATATTTCACTTATTGATCTTATTACAAGAAAAGAAGTTCATCCAAAAATTAAAGAAACAATCATTGATGTTGATGATGAAGATATTGAATGTGTGGATATTGTTAGCAGTGAATCAGATGATAGTGATGATGATGACGATGATGATGATGATAGTGTAGAAAATATGGAATTTATTGAATCAAATGAAGCGGATGATAGTTCAATAATGTTCTTTCGATGTCGTTATTGTGATTATACAACGAAAAAACCAGAGGAAGGATATGTACATATGAAGCTGAAGCATTTTAATGAAAATAATTCCATGATTCCTGTCAAGTCTTCAAACATCGATGAAATAGAAATAATTGATTGAATTTTTGATTATTTAATTTTTTTCCAGGTAATTGAAATTCTTTATTTTTTTTTATTAACAAAAAAATTACTAATACTTTTGAAAAAAAACAAAAGAATTTTATTTAGGTATTTTTTACATTGGCTTTAAAAGGATAATAAAATGTAAATTTGGATTTAATATTAATAAAATAAATAAAAATACAATGTTTCGATTCTCGAAAAGAATCCTCATCAGATTTATCTTTTAAATAAAATCAAAATCTGGAAAAATAAATTTTTATTCTTAGAAAATTTAAAGAAAAGAATACAATGAAAAAGAAATTATTTGATTCAATCGGTTATTTTATTATTATCAAATAAATATTTACTTGAACAAAAAAAATTTTTGAAACCAAATAATTGAATCGAATAAACTATATTTGAACTAATCATTTTCTGTATTTGAAACAAATAATAATTATTTAAAAATATTTATTTGATAACAGTCAAGTAAACGATTATTTTAATCAAATAATTTTGTTTTCAGTGTATTTAAGGCCATGTATAAAGCATTTAAATAAAAACGGAAAACGAGTGTAAAAAAAAATTCTATTATTATTTTACATTTTTTGCAAAATATATTAACAATTTTTTTTTGTTGTAGAAATTAATTTTTTCTTAAGAAGTCACTATCAAAGAAATTTTACATGAACAAATTCTTTTTTTATTTTTATTTCGAGTTCCACTGATTCTAATTTTCACTTCCGCCAACAAGAAATTATTGAAAGTGAAAAATATTTCAGATATTTTACTTCCACTGATATTCTTATTTTCAGTTACATTTTTATTTTCACTTTCACCGATTAGAAATTAGTGAATGTGAAATTAAGAGTTAAACTTATAATAATTAGTGGAACTGAAAGTGAAAATGAAAATTAGAAACAGTGGTAGTAAAAATTTTTTTTAGTTTTAACTTATTAAATTCGTAAAAGAAATTTAAAAATTGAAAAAATTTTAATTAATTTTTTTTTCGATTAGCAAATAAATTAAAATTTTTATTTTTAATAAAAAACAATTCTAGAATTTTTATTAACAAAAAATATTTATTCTTCTATTTCAGGATTCATCGTTTCTCAATTTTTGATGTATTCATTCCAAGTCATCAATCGGTATATTTTTTGATAAATATTTCGTTATCTTTGTTTCCAAAGAAACAGTTGTAAGAACTCTAAAATTATATTAAAACTTTTATTGATGTTATTTAAAGTGTTCGTTTTTTGAAGCAAAAGTTATATTTAAAAATAATTATTCTCAAATATCCGTAATTTCATGTTAAAAGTTGAAATCTTCTACATATATTATATAATAATTATTCGTTTGTTGTATACTACTGATTACATGAATTAAAAAAAAAAAGGATAATAAAAATGTGTTCTAAGTTAAATCATAAACAAAAAAGGGATAAACAAAAATTAAATGGCTTGAAAACGAGAAAAGTTTCTATTAAAGATGCAGTTATTCAAATTTTTTTTTTTTTAATTAAATTTAAAAAACTTTTCATAATTTTGTTTCTAAATTCAATTTTTTCTCACTTATTTCATATTTTTTTCTCGTCTTCCAGCTTATTTTCTTTTCTTATTTTTATTTTCCAATATTTATTATCTGCATGGTTTTTTTTTGAAAAAACTGTTCCGCAAATGTTGATTTTTATTAATATTTGTGCGGGAAAGAAATAAAAATGAGAAGCAATTTTTCAAAACCTGCTAAATCCATTTTTGACCATTTTTTTTTTGCAAACATAATTTCTATGTATTTTTTAACATTATTTGGCAAACATAATTTCTATGTATTTTTTAACATTATTTGGCAAACATAATTTTTATGCATAATACAACATATTATTTGTAAAAATCATTGTAAAATTTTTTTTGTCAAAAATGGATTTATCAGGTTTTAAGTTTTGTTAAATTTGCTTCTCAAATAAATAATCATAGTAGGTTTTTATCAACTGTGATTTTTAATTCTGTTACTAGTCAATCAGAAATTATTATTTTTTTTTATTCATTTACTAATAAATTATTATTTACTTTATTTATTATTATTTATTATTATTAAATTATTATTATTTATATCGAAACAAAAATTAATATCTATTCATTGAGAAATATTATTATTATTATTATATTATTATTGTTATTATTATTTTAAAAAGTAATTTTTTCTAATTACTGTAAAAAATACCTAAATAATTTGAATTTAAAAAATTGAAATCCATCTTTTATTAAAAAAATAAACTAAAATACAATTTAAAAAATTTAATTTAATTACTATTTTTCATAGTGTTTTTGTTTTTTTATAATATTTTTTAGAAACCACATTGAAAATAATGTTTGTGCTATAATTGCCTCAAATGAAAAATTTCCACATTCAGTTAACTTCAGTCATATAAAAACTTATAGTAAATATTAACTATGAAGTTAGTTGAATATAGAAATTTTTTGTTTAGAGCAGCTGTTGCACCAAATTTTTTTCAATACACATTTTTTAGAAATACATTTTAAAAATAAATTATATTTCTAAAAAAAATTAATTATATATTTCCAAGTTTATGAATTTTTTTTTTTTTTGTAAATATTGATAAATTAATGTTTTAACAGAGTTTTTTTAATTTGAATAAATTTTTTGTCTCTTATTATATTTTATAATAATTAGAAAATAACAAAAAAAAAAAATGTAATTTTATTTTTAATTAACACAATTGTATCATTGTTTTACAGTAATTTATCAACAATGGGATCAACAAGAAATTCACAGTCAATTTTATCCTGCCGAACAAAATGTTACTTTTCAACATGGAAGCGAAACAATTGAAGACCAAAGAATACAAAATATTTTTATCTGTCCAAACGAAGGATGCAATAGAACTTTTTCATGGAAAAATAATTTAAATTGGCATTTACGAAATTCTTGTGGTTTACTGCCAAGATATAAATGTCCATATTGTGAATATAAATGCAAAGTTAAAGGCGATATACGCAAACATATTTTCAGAATACATAAGGAGAATGAAGTTTATGTAATTGATCTCCTTGAAAATTCGTAAAAAAAAAGAGAAAGAAAATATTGTTTAGTAATTATATTTTGTAAAAAATTAATTTTTAAAATATATATATATTTATAATATTCCTAAAATTTCCTTTTCGTTTAATTAACAATTTTTTATTTCTTTACTATTTATTTATAAAAAATTTTTTTTCAACAATTTTCTTTTTTTTTTTATTTGTATTTATAAAAATCAACGAGAATTTTTTATTTTCCTTTATATTTTCAGAGTATTTTTTAAAAATAAAGTTTGTAAATTTTTTTTTTTTTGGTAAGAAATATTTTTTTTTTTATATAAATTTTCATAATTGGGTGATTATTTAATGAGTAATTTTTTGTTTTTTATTTTTACAGATAGAGGCACACGTTCTTACGTCATCGATACACGAAGAATAGGCAAGAAATTATTTCCTTGTCCACAATGTACAAGTAGTTTTGGACAAAAACAAAGTTTAACGAGACATTTGAAATATGAATGTCTTCAAGAACCAAGATTTGCCTGTCCTTATTGTGATCATCGAAGTAAAAAGACTTCGGGTATTTATGGACATGTTCGTAGAAGGCATGTCACTATGAAAGTTTATGCCATTGATATATATGGTGATGTAAATCAAGGCACATTTCATCATGTGCCATAGAAATAAAAAGAAAATCTAATTTTTACATTGAAATTCAAATTTTTTTAATTTACGCAATTGGAGAAAATTTTATTTGAATCAAATATTATATATAGAACACCCAGAAAAAAGGTTTCTTTGACAAATTATCTTTGATACAAAAAAAAAAAAAATTATCTTCGTTTCAAAGAAATTTTTTATTTAATTCAAATAAATGTTTTTTTGATCCTATATATTAGTGTTAGAATTTCTTTGAATTAAAGAAATTTTATTTGAAATTAAGAAGCTTTTTTTGTTTCAAAGAAAATTTTATTTTGAATAAATGAAAACAAGTAAAAAAAAAATTGGTTTCTTTAAATCAAAGAAATCTTTTCTTTTAGTGTGTATTTGAATAAAAAAAGGTATTATATATTTTAAAAAAATATATTTTTTCACGGAGCAAAAAAACTATTTATTTGTTTCAAATAAAAATTTTTCTTGGTACAAATAAAATTCTTCTTTATTAAAATAAATAAATATTTTCATATAACTCTGAGATAAATTATTATTTATATTTTTTCTTCAGGTGTGTAAAATTTAATGAACAAAATTTTCCAAATTTTAGGATCAAAATTTAACATTTGGAGATTGGTGATCGTATAACATAACCTCAATAATGATTTTTTAATATTTTGATATTATTTTCAGCTCAGGCAAAAATTGCAATTTTCTATCCAATTTTAATAAAAAATAAATTATTTTATCCACTTAAACATTCTATATAATCGTAATTTTTTCCTTTTTTAAAAATATTTTCTTCAAAAATTATAAATAAATCAAATTGTTTTTATTAAATAATTTTTTAAGAAAATATTTTTGACATTGAAAAAATTACGATTGAAGATAATATTTCAAGTAGTAAAATAAAATATTTTTTTTGATAAAAATTGAATAAAAGTTGCGATTTTTGTCAGCGTTGAAAAAAAAATCAAAATGTTAAAAAAAAAGAATTTTTTCACGTAACATTTAAAACGTTAAAAAAAAAATTAAACCGTTTCTTCTGCAAAAAGTGTATCTTCATAAATTGATTGAAATTAATTTTTCTTATATTTTAGCTTGCGCAAAAAAAATGTATAGTTGGAAATAATTTTTTAAATTAAGGTTATGTTACTGTTACCATTCTCCTTAAAAAAAAATTCTACTTTCATTTAAAAAGAAATTAGATAATCAAATCAATAGTTAATCCAACTCTATATAATTTTTTACGTTTAAAATTAAAAACTGTTTCTGTGAAAGTGTAATTAAAAAAATTAAAAATTTCTCTCAGATTAAAAAACGATACAATTTTTAGGTTATGTTACAGGAATTATTTTTTATCTCCGAAAATTTTAATCTTTTTCCGTTTGTTTACTTTTACTTTTAATCTGAATTTAGTAAAAATATAACTAATTTGATAAAAAAAAAATCAGACCAAATCCAAATGATTACAAATTAGTAATTTTTCAACTAATCATTTAGTTAAAAATAACTATAAAAATAAATATCAGTTAAATTCATTTTTAAGTTATGTCAAAATAAATAAATTTAGTGAAATTTAACTATTTTTTCAATTAGTTTGAAGTTATGTTACGATCATAATCCTTCATAAAGGCTTTAAGGCACTCTCACACCTTTTTGGCTGCCTGCAGGTTACCATGACAACGCATGAGAGTGAGTGCGACAGAAAATTTAAAAATTTGAATATTCAAATTTTCTGTCTCACTCACACTCGTGCGTTGCCATGGTAACCTGCAGGCAGGCAGCCAAAAAGGTGTGAGAGTACCTTTACATTTTAAGATGTAACAAATTAAAAAAAAAAAACAGGTTTTACTGTTTCGTGAAAATCGTAAGAGAAACAAAAATATTAAATTTCAAATTTTTAGATAAAAAATATGAAAAATTTGTTATTTATGTGTTTATTAATTAGCTAATAAAATATATTTATAGAGAAAATTTATTAATATTAAAAAAAGTAAAAAAAAATAATGAACAAAAATTGTATAAATATAAATAAATTACAAATATATAAATTTATTTTGAACTTTATTAAATAAAGTTTTTTATCATATATAATTTAAATATATATATTTATTAAACCTATTTTTTTTATATATAAAGCAAAATATTACTCCGATATCCTTTTATAAAAATGTAAAAACTCCCATAATGTGCTTTATCAACAATTTCATGTAAACAAAGTGTTTAAAAAAAAAATCATGAGAACGCTTCTCTATTTTTTTTTTACAATATTCATGCATTTCGTTCTCACGCTAAAAAAAAGGGTATAAAAAAGCAAAGAATGTATTTATAAAAAAAATTATCATTTTTTTAGCGTCATGATTTATATTATTTTTATTGCATGAAACAAAAAAACTAAAATAAGCTTGAAACATGGAATTTTTTTTTTTGAAAAATTAAATTTATTTTCTTAAATTATAAATGACATGTTTATAAATTGTTTTCAGGTAAAAAACGCAGTGGATCACATCAGAGGCATTTTGCAAAATTTGGAAAAGCCAAATTAGATGACAGTCATTTCAACTCATATACGGGGAAATTTCATTGTCCCAAATGTAATAGTGGTTATGGAAGACGTGATACAATGTTGGGACATTATCGTTATGAATGCAATCAACCGCCAAGATACAAGTGTCCATATTGTCAATTGCTCAGTAAAAAGACTTCCAATGTTTATCAACATGTTAGAGCTGTTCATCCCAGTGAAACTGTAACACTCGTAAAACTTTATTAGAAAAAAAAAAATATTCTTTTAATACGACGACTATATTATACATTATCAATTTTTTAACATTCGAACAAAAATTTAGGGACCCATTAATATTCCCCACATTTAGATTTGTCGGAATTTTTGTAATATCGGGTTTAAAAATTATCGAATTATTATTATTTAGCAGAATTTTATAAAGTGGATTTTATAATGAGACGAATTTTCGTATCCAAAAACTTAACTAAATTCTGATTTAGTGAGGATGGTAATTTTGTTTTGGATTTTAATACACTAAAACGTCAATCGAGAACAGACGAATGTGTAGTGCTATTCTCGATTAACACGATTTTTATCGCTCGAAAATAAAAACACTCAGGGCCGTATGAAGTGCCTTGCGCAACAATGTGAACTTTATCTAGGGAATTTTCACTAGTGGGCACTGAATACACCTTAATTTTAAAAATCACAAGTACGACACTGGCGTCAGTCATAACCTAAATTCTACCCGCTTCCCCACAAGTGACTGACGTATTTTCGATTGACGCTTTAGTGTATTTATTGTAGTTACGATGGTAAATAGGTTTCTCTTATTAAGTAATAAAATAATATTATTTATTTTCAGCCTAATGGCCCAGAAATGGACTTGGTTTACATATAATTACTGTGCATCTCTATTCACATCCATCCTTAAACATATACATATCTATACATAAATTTACAATAAACTTAACCCCAAACCTCTTTACTTTTAAGTATTTTATCTATATTATATACAGCTTTTACTATTTTTTTATCATATTTATCATTACATCCAATCATATATAAATTAACCTTGTCAATATTTACATCCGTAGTTAAATTATTAGTACCTAAACATTCTTTGAACAAATGATTAAAAGAACACCAGCCTTTTTCACATATTCTACAAATCCATACACTTTCATTTGCCCAATATTTATTGGTTCTTTCTATATTTCCACATCTAATTCTCGTTATAGTTTCTTGTTCCCAACCTATCCTTAGTTTTTTCAAATAATATGGTAATCCTTCAGTCAATATTTCCTTGTACCTAGGGTTATATTTAGATTCACTTATATTTCCTATTTCTCTTATTAAGTATTTCATTAACCTAATCATATCTAATAAGGTAGAAATTTTATTGACCAACAGTCAAATTTGTATGTACGAAACTCGTACAAATATTTTCGTGCATGGTTTCTGAAAAAAGTGGATCGTCTCTCGCTGCTGGGGAATGATCCCAGAACCTTCTTATTGCCGGTAAGATGCTCTACCAATTGAGCTACAGAGAGACTCGATTCCACTCAATTCAGAAACCATGCACACGACTTTTCAACGTCAATATTTTAAGAACTTTAGAAAATATCTAGTGAGGATGGTAATTTTGTTTTGGATTTTAATATTGTAGTTACGATGGTAAATAGGTTTCTCCTATTAAGTATTTCATTAACCTAATCATATCTGATATATTTTTTTACAATCTATCGCTGTTGCTTGAGTGTATCCTGATAGCAATCAGGTCCACTTTCTCGACATTAAAGGTGTTGTACTTGGCCCACCCCGTGCACACCGCCACCTCCGCCATGTTCAACCAGAATCCAAGATTGAAAATTGGAAACGTCGGCGCCATCATCCTCCAGACAAACCTATGATTCATGGGTGTCACCGCGTTCTGACCACCGTAGTCGTGAAGCGTCTCAGTGGTAACTGCGACTGCCGGCTTCAGCCCCAACCGCTTAAGAACGTCTACTGGCGCGCCCTGTGCAAACTTGGCTCCTTTCTTCCCGGGCTCACACTCCACCTCTACGCGCGGATGAAATCGTACCGTCGCCTCGCTAACCAGACTATCAATCTCCAACCAGTTGAAACCGCTCCTAAAGTAAGGATTCGCATACGCCGTGAATGCAGCACGCACACTGCGCTTAGAGCTTAACACATTCACGACGGCCTCCCCTACCGACCGCGTAAGATCAACCGGCAAGATTACTCCCGGGATAGGCCTTTCCCCGTGTCTGTCCGTCTGTGTCACAGCCAGGGTGGTGTTACCCACTCTGATGTGAGTTTTGGTTTTCGACGGTACCACTATTATGATTCGATCCGTACGGCTGTGAATATCTACCAGACCATCCGTCCGGCTAAACGCCTCCCCAGCGTATGTACATTGACCTGGTCCATCACCCAAGCCAGGGGGTAGGTGAGATGGCTCAACAACCACGTACTGTGCCCTAGATAGTCGGCCGCCTCGTTGTCGTGATCGGACTCCCTTTCTCTGCCCATGCCCAATCAACCCCAGTGGGCATGGTCAGTACTTCCTCACGCAGCAAATCGTATAATGCCACCTTAAAACCTAAGACACGCCAATCAACTTTCTCGGCCTTGATAGAACTCAATACTCCGGCTGCCAATTGCGGCGTGCAACACAATTGGCCCCATATCCAGTACGCCCGATCCGGGTTAAGCTCATGTGACACGTCACCGCCCCCAGCTCCAGCATCACTCAATTTCTCCGCAATTCCAGTTGATGTTGATTCTAGAGCACCGTGGTGTAAAGAGCCACTGCTCCCAATTCCAATCCACCTTGTCCGGTGGGCAAAAGCACGTAATTTGATCGGGTGCTTTGACATCCGAGGAAGACGGTCCTTATTAAATTGCAAAGTATCATTGAAACCGTCGCCGATGGGACCCTCGTCCTCCGAATCAATGTCAGAGGACGAATCACTATCTTCGACAGCTTCTCCACCACCGTCTCCGTCTACCTCCATCAACCCCAGAGCCTCTTCAACACCAGAGGTACTGACCCTGAGTTCAGTATCTGTCCAGGGAGCCAGCTCTCGCACCATCTCCGTTTGGCCCTCCCAGAATGCGGTGTAACTCCTCTTCACCTTCGCTGCCCTGGTAGGCTCGTTACCCGCGACCGAATCTACGTTACCATTTAGGGCGTGCTGCTCCTTATTGTCATGGGAGATCATGGGATCATGGGAGGAAGGTCCGCGAGCAAGCCGATCGTACATTTCGCGGTCTGACTTCTTCGACGAACTGGATCTGTGCTCCGCCACTACCAGTCCGCCAATGTCTACAGACGCCACGCAACAGAACACGCAGAATGGACAGAGACGCCTGCTAGATACTGCGGCAGCCATACGGCCGTAAGAAATACACCGTCCTATGGCAGTGGACACAGCCTCATCACATTTGTAAGTGTCCATCTTCGGTTCCAGCCTGACACTGGGACCTCCCTTCGCTTCATCGCCGCTATCGTCATCCTCCTCCAGTACACCCAGACGATCAGCGGCCCACAATAGCACGAGCTCCCACTTGGAAAGATTCTCCGGAAAGTGCCCCCTGGAGGTTCTATCAGATTTCCGTCGGAACTTTTAACGTAATTCCATCGGAGTTCCAAAGAATTTCCGATGGGATTCCGATTTACTTTTTTTTTAATTTTTAGAGTCCTACATTAAGAAAATTATTATTATTATAAAATAGAATTTTTGTCATAGAAACCTTACTAAAAAGAATTTTATTTTTTATGAAATATTTATCAGCAGAGCTAGAAATCAACTGGCTTTCCATTGTCCAGTATTACTATATATTAGAATATAATTCTGTAGAAAGCTCCGATGAAATCTCCAGGGAACTCTTTCTGGGGAATCTTTTAAAGTCGGAAATGTTTCATCAAAATTACACTTTTTTTACAAAGTTTCTCTGATTATTCAATCTTCTGAGTCATACACTAAGATAATTTTTTAGTTAAGTTTCTATGTTAAAAGTTCTATTTTATAATAATAATAATTTTCTTAATGTAGGACTCTAAAAATTTTGAAAAAATTAATCGGAATTCCGTCGGAATCACATCGGAAATTCTTTGGAGCTCCGATGGAATTCCGACGAAATTCCTATGATCGGAACATCGATTCCACGGGTTTCTCAAACACGCCCGCCTCCCTCATGTTGACAAACCTGGACCCATAAGCGGATACTGCGCACAACGTGGGCCAAGCGAACCCTCGCTCAGCAATTATAATGGGGTCTCTCTATAGCTCAATTGGTAGAGCATCTTACCGGCAATAAGAAGGTTCTGGGATCATACCCCAGCAGCGAGAGGCGATCCACTTTTTTCAGAAACCATGCACGAAAATATTTGTACGAGTTTCGTACATACAAATTTGACTGTTGGTCAATAAAATTTCTACCTTATCAGATATGATTAGGTTAATGAAATACTTAATAGGAGAAACCTATTTACCATCGTAACTTAATTCTGATTTTATAGAATTTCTATTTAACTGAAATTTTGTATAGCAAAATTTTCTAATAGATCGAATTTTCAAATAATACAATTATTTACATTTATTTTTTTTTATGGATATTATGAATTTTTTTTAGCAAAATTTTCATAAACAAGAATTTATATTTATCTGAATTGTTCTTTTATCCGAATTTTTATTTTAAAGAATTTTATTAAATATGTAATTACTTTTTTGGAGGAATTTTCATTTTTCGAATTATCATTTAACAGAATTTTTTAAATGAATTTTTACTTTACAGAATATTTTGGTACCAAATTTTTAATTTTTTTTCATGTATTTAAAAGAATTTTTTTTTTAATTTTTTAAAATAAAAGACTTTGGGCACTTGTAAAAAAAAATTTAAAAAAATACGTAGGGTAAGTTAGGGTAAATGGGGATGAAATCGCTATTTTTCACAAATTACGTATGTAAGTTTCTTCCTTTAAGGGTATGTGGGCAAAGGACGTTTTTTTGTGGTTTGAAACTTTCTCTGAAATAAAAAATGATTTCGGGTTAAAATAATTTTGGAGAAATGATTTTGTTTGGTACAAGAAATCTCGCTGTTCTACTAATTTACCATAACTTAACGCAAAAATAATAAAAATAAAGCAAAAAAATAGTAAAATAATGTATTATATCATAGTTCATTCAGTGGCTACTCGCTCGAATTGGCGCAGTTTACTGAAGCACTGATACACACAAGCAACGTCTGTGTATGCG